TCAAGGACTGCAGCCTCCAATATGGATTTGGGCTCAATATCAAGAAGACAAAGATTCTCACAACTGAGCCAATTGGCAGCATCAAGATGGATAGTGAAGAGATTGAGCTTTAGTTTGCTTGGCAATCAACAGTCTTGGCACCAGCAGCCAGGAAATTAAAAGACGTATGCGATGGGTAATTACTGAAGAGCAGTGGTGCCACTCTGGAGTCTAAGGTGTGCCTGATATAGGCCATGGTCTTTGCAATCACTTGGTATGCGTCAGAGAGTTGGGCAGTAACTAGGCAGGATAGATGGAGAATTGATGCTTTTGAACTGTGGTGCTGGAGAAGAGTATTGAATACCATGGACTGCAAAGAAAACGAATAGGTTCTTCCTGGAGAGGGTTAAACCGGGCTGCTCCTTGGAGGCAAGGATTCTGAGGCTTCGTCTGACATATTTTGGACATGTTGTAAGGAGGGAAGAGTCCTTGGAGAGCGACATCATGCTTGGGAGGATAGAGGGACAGCACAGGAGGGGAAGATCCTCTATGAGGTGGACTGATTTAGTGATGGGGTAATCGGAGTGGGTGTGTTGGGGACAGTGAGATTGGCACAGGACAGGGCAGGGTTTAGGACTGTTGTACATAGGGTCACTAAGAGTTCCAAGCAACTCGATGGCACATAACAACAACAACAATCACAATTATGGAATACTTGCTCAATTTTCAAGCTTGCTTCTGTAGATTTGGTTCCGAATCACAGCAACCCTCCACCAGGTTCCCACGGCTACAAATCACAATGGGAGGAGACAGCCCATGGTTTTCCTATGGAGCTGCTGGTAAATTCAAATCACCAGAGTCCTGCGGCCTTTGGATTAGCAATACACCTCTATCTGTTCACTAGCTACAAGAGCTCCCTCAGGGGCCCTTGGCCCGAGCTATGCTGTTTTCAATCGCTTCATATTGCATGTGAAAACTGGACAATGAATAAAGAAGACCAAATAAAAACACACTTTTGGATTGTGCTGTTGGTGAAGAGCAGTGAATACCTATGAACTGGCAAAAAAACAAATCTGTCTCTGAATAAGAACAACCAAGGTGTCCTCGGTGGTGAAGATGGTGAACCCTTGTCTCACGTACGTTAGGCACGTTTTCAGGAGGGGAGTCCTTGGAAAAAGACATGCTGGGGAAACAGCAGGTCAGCAAGGAGAAGACGACACTCAAGGTGAAGGACTGGTACAGTGACTGCAACACAGAGGCTTGAGTATGGAGGCTACTGTGAGGATTCTGCAGCATACAACGAGGCTTCATTCTGTTGTCCACAGGGTGGCTATGAGTCGTAGATGACTAGACAGCACTTAACAACAACAATAACTCAATGTACTAAGGGTGTCTACAAAACGTGAATTAAGCCGTCATTCATAAATGCATTCATATGTTTCTACTAAGAATAATTTAGAAACAATATATAACATCTACTACTTTCATATAGGGAGCTCTGGTGGACTGATGGTAAGCAGGTGTGCTGCCATCCTGAAGATACACCGTTCAAATCCACCAAGTTCTCCGCAGGAGAAAGACGGGCAATCTCCTTCCATGAAAACCCCCCAGAGGGTCAGCTATGGGTCAGGGAGAACACAACTTTCATGTAATAAACCATAAATATTTTAAAAAAATTCAAGTATGTTCTAATATGGTGCTCTGCTTGAAAGGAATAAATGGCACGTGCAAACAGTCTTTTTAATCTTCACCTCTCCCAATAATCTGAGCCTTGAGTTTAATATTTTGCTAGATATCCTATTCATGAACACTCATTAATTCCAAATGTGAATATCATCTCAACATCAGAGAGTATAATATCATGTAAAGTCAGTGTTATTTTCAATTAATTACTGTCTCACTGAAGTGGTGGTGGTGTTAGGTGCCATCGAGTCGAGTACGACTTTCCTGTGCCATCCTCATCATTTCAGACATACTTGAGCCCGTTGCTACAGTCACTGTGTTTATCCATCTGGTCTCCTACTCTTTCGCTGACCCGCCACCTTTCCAAGAATGACGTCGCTTTCCAAGAAATAGTCTCTCTTAGCAACATGCCCAAATTGTGTGAGATGACAGCGAGACTCTGTTCTCATTGAATAATCTCTACTATGGTTCAGCCTAATCTTCTGCATGGTCAGTGTAAACTACTTATTTGCCTTAGAGTGGTGACACTTTGTTAATGGCCACTGAGTCATTTCTGATTCAGTGAGCCTATGTGTTGTAAAATAAAATTGGTCCTTAGATTTCCAAGAATTTGCCTTTTGTTAGCAAATCCCAGACCTCTCTTCTACAATGACTTGGAGTGGTTTTGAGCCAACAAACTTTTGTTTAATATTTGAGTACAAACTGTTTGTGGCACTCAGAGACTTCATATGCAAATAAAAACACTTGTTAAAAAAAATATATATATATATATATTTACAAATACATTAATTAAACTTCCTTCTTCCACACTTTATTAAAATCATTTGATGTTAAATTGCTTATCTTCTCTGTCTGAATCTTTTTAAGTATAATATTTCCCCACTATTTCTTACATAGTTTTTGGGAAGAACAATAAATTTTTGTGCATAAGCAACTGGAAAAGCAACTAAAATACAAGAAATGTGTTGCAATTATGTTGTGTTTGTAGAATCAGAATTTCACAATGGAAAGTCTTGAGAAACTATTCCAAATTCTTCACATAGATTATCAACTGAAACCCCAGCAATGGCAAAATGATGTAAGTCATGTACCTACTTGGGAAACAAAGCTTTGTCTCCCTACTTCTGTGTTGCTTGCTGGCTCCACGCTCATATGTGAATGACTTTCACCTGGTTCCCTACTCTTCATATATGTCCTGAGATAATTTTACCTGTTACTGTGGTTGAGAGTCCTGGTGGCATAGGGCGTTAAGCCTTAGGTTGCCAACTGAAAGTCAGCAGTTTCAATCCACCAGATCTGCCTTGGGGAAAAAAGATGGGCAGCCTCCTCCTACAAAGATTTACGGCCTAGGAAAACTGATGGAGGGCCTCCATGAGTCAGAATCGACTTGATGGCAGTGGATTGGGGTTCTGGTTTGGGAATGGCTTATAGGGCTATGCCTGGCTAAACAGTTAAGGTTAAGTTAAGGTTGGCAGTTCAAAGCCACCCAGAGGAGTCTTGGAAGAAAGGTCTTGTTATCTGTTATCAAAAGATCGCAACTTTGAAAATCTTGAAGAGCACAGCAGTTCTACTCTGCAACATAGTGGCTCACCACGAGTAGAAATGACTCCATGACAATTGGAGTTTGGGGTTCTGAAATGGCTTAGATGCCTGAAAAAGTTCTCATAGCATCATGGGAATTGTACCAGTCTGCTACTCAAAAGGTCTGCAGTTTGAATGCACCAGCTCTGCTGTAGATGGAAGTTAGTCAATCACCTGCAAAGATTTATATCCACGGAAACCAAATATAGGGTCACTATGAGTTAACCACTGCAGGCCCATCTCACACCACCCTTCCCAATGCTCATAAGTCTCCATTTCTTTCCTATTAGAGTCTTGAAAATGGTTGCTATAGTCTCTCTAAAGTGGCAAGGACAGAGGGCCCAAGCCAAATACCACACTGCCCAGATGCTCCTCTATACCCAACCATTGGTCTCTGAATCGTCCCAAACTCAGCACTAGCTCATGTCCAGGTCCTAAATCCATGGTGGAACTGCTCCACATTCCATTTCCAGACACTGCTCAAGGCCGGATACCTGGCAAGTACTCAGTAAGTGGCTACTGTATTGAATTTTTAAAACTATGGCTTTCTTTTCTTACTGTTTTTATATTAAGCATTGGGTTGCTAACCGGTTTCAACCCACAACAGTCCTTGGGAGAAGAAACGTCAGTCAGCTTATGTAAAGACTTGTAGCCTTAGAAGCCCAGAGGGGCAGTCCTACTCAGTCCCATAGGCCCCTGTGAGTCAGAATGGGGAGCTCTCTGGTGATAATCCAAAGGCCGTGTTTCTCTGACAACTGGAATTCACCAGCAAGTCCTTGGGAGAAAGACGGACACTCTCTTCCCATGCGATTTACAGCCTCAGACATTCAGTGGAAGGCTGGCTATGAGTCAGTTCCAACGCAAACATAATGAATGAGTGAGTGAGTGATGTGTCTGAATGGCAGTAACAGCACCTGGAGGCAGTTAGTCTTGCCGGGAGTCCCTGAACAGTGCAAACAGTTCATCTGCTCAGCCAGTAACCGAAGCTGGGAGGCTGAAGTTTACCCAGAGAATGATCTAAACAAAATCCTGGTGACTGACTTCCCAAAAGCCAGCCATTGAAGCCCCCGTAGTGCCCATTGTGCTCTGGCACATAGGGGGCTGCTATGAGCTGCTGTTGACTCAATAACTGATTAATCTAGGCTGGTTGTTCCTCAGCAATCCTTTTATAGGCCCCTGCAGGAGTCTGTCTGTCTTGTTTTTCACAGGAACTGATGTACATGTTATTACTCTTCCCAGTCTACTGAGATTCCTCTTTCATGGACATTTCCTCTACTTTGAACTTTTCTTTGTCAGGTAAAGATGAAGCCTCATTTGCTATTGACACATATTTTTACACACTATTAAGGATGTAAAATGAAATGAATAAATTAAAATTTTATTCATAGCAGTCAGCTTCAACTTCAGATCAATTTAAAGCATTGTAATAATATAAAATAAAAATCTTCCCTTTCCCTCCAACCCTAAGTTACCTTCCTGCTTTTATGCACAGGTGAGTGAGCCTCTAACTGTCTAAGAAAGGCTTCCTCTGAGCTTTTCCTTGTTGGTAACTTTCCTGGGGCATCTTTTCCGGTTCCTCTTACCCTTCTCCTTCTCCTAGGCTCGCTTGCAATACGGGCTTGGGCCTGAAAGGAAGCTAAAGAGCATGACACAAATGATGAATCCCAAGAGCCTTGTTCTGAAAGGCTCTGGGGCTTATGGGAGGGGTGGAGAAAAGGAGAGAAGGCAGAGGCCGCGCTGTGGGTGCTCTCTCTTACCGCATGACAAAATTTGCTTCATCTATTTGACGGCCACAGCCACTCTTCTTCAGAATCCCACCATTTCCCACCACCGCACATTTCTTCAACGGCAGCTGGAATGGGATTGCCTAGCAACAGAAAACAAGGCGGGTTTTCACTGCAGAGAACACACAACTGCTCACAAAATCATTGTTTACAACAGGTCCTTTGGAGGAATTTGATTGAAGACCAGGAAGAGTGAAAAGAGTATGTGTAGAGAAAGATAATTAAGAAGTTAGTAAGGAAAAAAAATACCAACAACTAGCCTGTTCTCCTGGGGAAAACGGATTTTAAATATCATTCTGAAATGTATTTAAATATAACATTTTTTTTCTGTTCCAAATTGCCCATGCACATAGTAGAGGGTGTCTGTTGGCTAGGGAAAACAGAAAAACCCAAGCTAAAAACACAGGACTATTTTTAAAAGTGTTAAACTGGAAACAAACTCAAATAAATTATATTCCCTATTTTAATGTGATTTCATTCATTCATGATTTCAATCGGCCATTCACTCCACAGATGTGTCTGAATATTTGGTCTGCTAAGTGTTGGGAGTAGAAAGATACAAAGTTCCCAAGCCTCAGAATTCACTTTTGGGACACAGTAGAGAAAGAGGTAAGAGAATGTGAACACACATACTTCTGTAACAAATCCTAGTGTAATGGTTAAACTGGTGCAGAAATGTGCCCAGTACCACAGAGAACATCCCAGAGCAAGTAGGCATTCTGCCAAGTATACCCAGGAGACACTTACCCACCTGGGACCATTCTTAAAGGCTGAGTTGGATTTTATTGACAGAGAAAGTAGCATTAACCAAGGTACAAAAGTATGAGCTCAGATGTGGTAATAAGCAAATGAGGTGGATCTGTTTAGGTCTTAGGAGGCATCAAGAGGCAAGTGATTTGTACCAACCAGGCAGCATGTGATTTGTTGCTGCAAATGCTGACCTGGACTACAAAGAAAGAAAGGAAAAAAAACACACCAAAAACTGTTCAGTGTATCTGGGGGCTCCCTGAAATGCTATTTTAGCAAGAGGCAGCTGCAAACGAGGTAATAGCTTCTGCAAGTGAAACGTATCACTCAGCTATGCCAAGCAAAGTCAGTGAGGACCTCAGATCTAGAATTTTCTGCATGCTGAAATGATGTCTGGTGACTGGAATTTCTTGGAGGAATATCATTAATATATAATAGATAGATAGATAGATTGATAGATGATATATATAACATCTACATATCTGATATGGGAAGCTCTGGTGGTGTAGTCTGTAGGCAGTTGTGCTGCTAACCTCTTTGACAGTTTGAAACCACCAGCAGCTTCCAGGAAGAAAGATGGGTGTCCTCTTCCCATGTGACTTACAACCTTGAAAAACCCAAAGAAGGATCAGCTATGAGTTGGTTCCAATTCAAAGGCAATGACTAAGACATTGCTGATATAGATAGAAATTATACTCATATTAAGCAAGCCAGTCTGGACGGAATTCAATGAAATAGTATGGGCTCTTCCCAAAGAATAAATACAATTAATACACAAATGTACCTAGTATTAAGGGTTCTGACTAGTCATAAAGTAAACCAAAAGAAAAGTTTTTGAGGTGTCTCTGTCTTTACTAGTAGGCACTTAATGGAGCACAAGAAAAAGATTTCACTTCTTAATTTCAAGTGTATAACAGGAACAGCTAGCTGGGCTTTGGGAAGGCTGGTAATGAAGATACAGTATTTAATATACAATATTTGAGAATTCTCTGCGTCAGCAGAACAGAAACTAGGTGTCCATCCCAACCCAGCACAATGAAGAAGAGCAGGGGCAACCTTGGGACATCCGAATGGCACATGGCATTTATCTCAGTCACTCCTGAGAGGAGGAGAGTAGTATTAACAATAGAACCAGTTAAACCTGTATGTGCTTGGCTGTAGATTATGTAAGAATGATCAGTTAGCCACTCATTTATTCCACAAGCATTTACTAAGTGTCTACTATGTGCTGGACACTCTTGCTGGTGATGGGACACAAGTGAAAACCTTGTTCCCACAGAGCTTGCATTCCAGTAGTGAAGACAGATAATCAATAAAGACAAATGAGTAAAAGAACCGTATGTCAGTAGATGATGGGGTTGTGGAAAGAAAAAAAGAACTGTCCTGAGAGAATGAGGAAGCACTTTGGGAGAGGCACTGCTGTTTTCAGGAGGGAAGTCAGGGCTCAAAGGGTACAAGGAAGCAAAACCCTGAAGAGGACAGGAAGTGAGCCAAGGAGAAACATATTAGAACTGTGGGGGCAACTCCCTCCGGGGAATGTGTCTGAAGAGTGCAAGGAAGAGGAAAAAAAACACGTAAAGAGCCCACGGGTCTGGGGATCAGGGAGCAAGGGAGAGAGGAGGAGGAGTGATTAGGGACTTCACTGGGAGAGACCAATCTGTAGGGTTTTTATTGTAAAATGAAAAGCAAGGATTGGGGGGAAAAATATATATATATAATCTGTACATGCTAGAACTTTGTTTCACATACTTAGGTGTATTGCCTGGAGGGGTCAATTTTGGGGACTGGTGGAAGGTCAGCATAAGAGAGAAAGATCCTCAATTAAACGGCCTGACGCGGTGACTCTAACACTGGGCTTGCGCATGCTGCAGAGAGTGAGGACATGAAAGGTTCCGATCTGTTGGTTCATCAGGTCACCAGCAGTTGTAGTCAGCTCCTGGGCACCTAACAATAACTGCTGTACTACAACTGAAGGAAAAACAAAAAGAACAGAGGAAAAATCCACATCAAAGGCTGTTTACAGAGTGTTGTTGTTGCTGTGTATTATCAAGTTGGAACCGAACTCTTTGGTGACTCTCCAGTGGGTTTTCAGAGGCCTTTAATTTGCATGGAAAGACACTGCCCATCCTTCTCCCTCAGAGCAGCTGGTGGTCTCGAACCATATGCTTTTGGAATCTCAGCACAAGTTCTTGCCACTAGGCCACCAGAGCTCCTGTTTAGATTAAGAGATATAATGGCTGAAATTTGTCACTGGATTTAGCAACATGGAGGCTTCTGGTGTGTTTAACAAAGACAGATTAGATTCTGTACTAAGGACAAAAGCATAATCTAAGTTTGGTTCATTACACATGAATATTTTCATATTTCACATCTACTAGTTGGAAGCGCCGGTAGCCTAGTGTACAGGGAATCGTGCTGCTAACCCAAAGGCCATACTGCTCTGGTGGTTTAAGTCAACTTGCGGCTCCTTGTGAAGATGATGAGCAATCCCTTCCTATGTAATTTATAGACTCAATTTCAACTCTATGGCCATCAAGTGAGTAAGTGACTTGTCTATAGTTTATTCTCAAAGTACAGCTTCGTTCACCTGATGCAGATATTTTGTCTTCATAAAAGGCCAACTGAAAAGTCCTCTACACATATGTTGTCACTGTGTACTGTCAAGTCAGAACTGACCCATGGCAGATCCTCCAGCAGGTTTTTAGAGGCTGTAAGTCACACAAGAGGAGATTGCTCAATTTTCTCCCACAGAGCAGCTGGCAGATTCGAACCTTGACCTTTGCATTGTAAGTGCACTTCCTTACCACTAAGCCACCAGAGAGGTTCTGAATCCAGGCAGAGTGCAATTTCCAGGCAGGAAGCAAGGCCCAGTACTAGTAGATTGGGGTGGCAGCTGAAGCAGGAGAAGCAACAGATCTGGTTACAAGCACTACCTCATAGCTGTCTAATCATGAGATTGTGTAAAAAAATGTCATATACCTCCCTCTCCCACTTTTTTTATTTTTTGAAAGGGAGATATTACTATTACATGCCATTAGGATTATATACCATCCCAAGAAAGGTGATCCAACTGAAAGTGGAAAACATTGAACAATATCACATGAAAGCAAAGTATTGCTGAAGACTATTTTTTAAAAAACTGTAACAGTACACTACCAGAAAACTGCCAGAAGTTCAAGCTGGGTTTAGAAGAGGCCATGGCACTAAGGATATCACTGTTAATGTCTAATGGATCCTGGCTGAAAACAGAGAACACCAGACAAATGTCTATTTGCGTTTTACTGACTATGCAAAGGTATTTGACTGTGTGGCTAATAACAAATTATGCCTAACATTAAGAATGATGGAAATCCCAGAACACGTAATTGAGCTCATGCAAAATCTATATCCTGACCAAGAAGCTGTTGTACAAATAGAGCAAAGGAACACTGCACGGTTTAAAATCAGTTAAGTGTGTATTAGGATTTATCCTTTCTCCATACCTGTTCAATCTGTACACTAAGCAATTCTTTTGAGAAGGTGGATTCTATGAAGAAGAATGTGGCTTCAAGATAGAAGGAAGACTCACCGATAACCTGTGTAATGCAGATGACAAAATCTTGCTGGCTGAAAGTGAGGGAGGAGGACTTGAAGTACTTGCTGCAGAAAATCTAAGATTACGGCCTTCAATATGCCTTGCATCTCAACATTAAAAAGATAAAACCCCTCACCACTGGACAGATAAACAACAAAATGATAAATCAAGAAAATATTGAAGTTGTTAACAACTTCATCTTACTTGAATCCATAATCAGCACCCTTTGTACCAGTATTCAGGAGATTAAGAGACATACTGCACTGGGCAAGTTCGCTGTGAGGGACCTTTCCAAATTTCTGAGGGGTAACGATGTCAGTTTGAAAGCTAACATGTGCCCGAGTCAAGCCATAGTCTTTTCAATTACTTGCTATGCACTTTAGAGCTGGACTATGAATAAGGAAGACAAAAGAAGAAATGATGCCTTTGAACTGTGGTGTTGGAGGAGAGTACTAAGTATTTCTTGGACTGTGAAAAAAATAAACAGACATGTCTTAGAAAAAGTGCAACATTCTAATATTTCTTGGGGCAAGGATGATAAAGCTTCATCTCATATACTTTTGACATGTTGCTAGGAGAAGTTATTCCTTAGAGAGGGACATCATGCTTAGAAAAGTGGTGGAAAGGGAGGAGGACCTTCGAGATGAATTGACACAGTGATTGCAGCAATGAGCTCAGGTGTGTCAGAGATGATGAGACTATCACAAGAACAGACAGTTTTCAGATCTGTTCATAGATAAGGTCACTATGAGTCATACTCAA